GGGAGGGTTGTGGGGCTGAAGACCCGGACAAGAGCTGGTGCTACCGCTGTTCAAATCTGAGGGTGGTGGAGCTGGAGCCTTGGGGAGGAGCCGACGCTGCCTTTAAGTCTGCCTGAGAATCGTTGAGCTGGAGGTCCACGGAGGAGCTGGTGCTGCCACTGATGTTTTAGGTTGTGGAGCTGAAGACAGTGGAGGAGCCAGTGTGGCTATTCCTCTGTGAGGGTCGTGGAGCTGGAGATCCAGGGGGAGAGGTGATCTAGTTTGAGGTTCATGCAGCCGCAGACCCAGAGAGGAGCTGGCGTTTCTTTAGTTTGAGGGTTGCGCAGCTGTAGAACCCAGGAGGAGCTGGCATTTTTCTAGTATTAGTGTCCTGCAACCGGAGAGGAGCTCATGTTCCAGTTTTAAGGTCCGTGCAGCTGGAGACCCGGCGGGGAGCTGATGTTCCATTTCTAGGGCCATGAAGCAGGATACCTGGCAGGGAGCTGATGTTCCAGTTTGAGGGCCGTGCAGCTGGAGACCCGGCGGGGAGCTGATGTTCCATTTTGAGGCCGTGCTGCTGTAGATCCGTGGGGAGCCGATGTTCCAGTTTGAGGGCCATGCAGCTGGAGCCCAGGGCTGAGCTGATGTTCCAGTTTGAGGGCCGTGCAGCTGGAGACCCGGCGGGGAGCTGATATTCCAGTTGGAGGGCCGTGCAGCTCGAGACCTGACGGGGAGCAGATGTTCCAGTTTGAGGGCGGTGCAGCTGGAGACCCGGGGGAGAAATGATGTTTTAGTTTCAGGGCCGTGTAGCTGGAGCCTGGGCGGGGAACTGATGTTCCAGTATGAGGGCCCTGCACCTGGAGACCTGGGGGGGAACATCAAACTGGAACATCAGCTCCCCTCCTGGTCTCCAGCTGCACGGCCCTCAAACTGGAACATCAGCTCCCTGTAGGGTCTCCAGCTGGAACATTGGCTCCCCGCCTGGTCTCCAGCTGCACGGTTCTCAAACTAGAACATCAGCTCTCTTGCCATGTGTCCAGCTGCACGGCCCTCAAACTGCAACATCAGCTACCCCCAGGTCTCCAGCTGCATGGCGCTCAAACTGGAACGTCACCTGCCTGCCCGGTCTCCAGCTGCACGGACCTCAAACTGGAACAGTTTGAACTCAGTGGGGCAGCTCCTATTACAGTTTGAGGGCCGTGCAGCTGGAGCCCAGGGCTGAGCCGACGTTCCAGTTTGAGGGCTGTGTAGCTGGAGACCCAGCAGGGAGCTGGTGTTCCAGTTTGAGGGCCGTGCATCTGGAGACTCATCAGGAAGCTGATGTTCCAATTGGAGGGCCGGGGAGCTGGACATACGGGGTAAGCTAATGCTCCAGTTTGAGGGCAGTGCTGCTGTAGACCCAGTGGGGAGCTGATGTTCCAGTTTGAGGGCCATGCAGGTGGACACAGGGCAGAGAGCTGATGTTCCAGTTTGAGCACCATGCAGCTGGAGACTCAGCGGGGAGCTGATGTTGCAGTTTGAGGTCCGTGCAGCTGGACACATGGCAAGAGAGCTGATGTTCCAGTTTGAGAACCGTGCAGCTGGAGACCAGGAGGGGAGCTGATGTTCCAGTTTGAGGGCTGTGCAGCTGGAGAACCGTGGGGGAGTTGATGTTCCAGTTTGAGGGCCGTGCAACTGGAGATTCAGGGTGGCGCCGATGTTCCACTTTGAGGGCGATGCAGCTGGAGACCCTGTGGGAGCTGATGTTCCAGTTTCAGGGCCCAGAAGCTGATGTTCCAGTTTAAGGGCCATGCAGCTGGAGACACGGCGGGGAGCTCATGTTCCAGTTTGAGGGTCGTGCAGCTGGAGAACTAGGGAGGAGCTGATGTTGTTTTCATTTGAGAGCCGTGGAGCTGGACAGCTGGAGAGGAACTGGTGTTCTAGTTTGACGGTTGTAGAGCTGGGGATGCAGGCAGGAGCTGTTCTCTTTATAGTTTGAGGGCCGTGGAGCTGAAGACCCTGGGAGGAGCTGTTCTAGTTTGAGGGTCGTGCAGCTGGACACCCTAGGAGGAGCTGATGTTGTTGCAGTTTGAGTATTGTGCAGCTGGAGATCTAGTGGGGAAAAGGTCCTGTGATTCGAATCTGAGGGTCTCCGGGCTGGAATCTACGGGAAGAGCCAGTGCTGCCTCTCATGACTTAGGCTGTGGAGCTGGAGACCCGCGGAGGAGCCGTTGTTGGTGTTTCTCATTGAGGGTTGTGGAGCTGGAGATACAGGGTGGAGCGTTGTTTTCTAGTTTGTGGGTCGTGGAGCTGGAGACCCGCAGAGGAGCCGGTGGTGGTGTTTCTCGTTGAGGGTTGTGGAGCATTGTTTTCTAGTTTGTGGGTCGTGGAGCTGGAGACCCGCAGAGGAGCCGGTGGTGGTGTTTCTCGTTGAGGGTTGTGGAGCATTATTTTCTAGTTTGTGGGTCGTGGAGCTGGAGACCCGTGGAGGAGCCGGTGGTGGTGTTTCTCATTGAGGGACCTGGTGTTTCTAGCTGAGAGTCATGGAGCTGGAGACCCATGGAGGAGCTGGAGTTGGTGTTTCTAATTCAGGGTCATCGAGGTGGAGACGGTGGAGTGGCCACTCTTGGTGTTTTTCCTTGAGGGTCGTGGAGCTGGAGATACAGGGTGGAGCGTTGTTTTCTAGTTTGTGGTACACGGACCTGGAGACCCGTGGAGGAGCTGTCGATGGTGTTTCTGGTTGAGGGTCGTGGAGTTGGAGACACGCGGAGGAGCCACTTTTGTTGTTTCTAGTTGATGATCGTGGAGCTGGAGACCCGCGGAGGAACCGTTGTTGGTGTTTCTCGTTGAGGGTTGTGGAGCTGGAGATACAGGGTGGAGCGTTCTTTTCTAGTTTGTGGGTCATGGAGCTGGAGACCTGTGGAGGAGTCGTTTGTGGTGTTTCTCATTGAGGGTTGTGGAGCTGGAGATACAGGGTGGAGCATTGTTTTCTAGTTTGTGGGTCGTGGAACTGGAGACCTGTGGAGGAGGTGGAGTTGGTGTTTCTAGTTGAGGGTCGTGGAGCTGGAGACCCATGGAGGAGCTGGAGTTGGTGTTTCTAGTTGAGGGTCATCGAGGTGGCGATGGCGGAATGGCCGCTGTGGGGGTCTTTGTTCGAGGGTCGTGGAGCTGGAGATACAGGGTGGAGCGTTGTTTTCTAGTTTGTGGGTCGTGGAGCTGGAGACCCGTGGAGGAGCTGTCGTTGGTGTTTCTGGTTGAGGATTTGGAGTTGGAGACACGCGGAGGAGCCATTGTAAGTGTTTCTAGTTGAGGATCGTGGAGCTGGAGACCCGTGGAGGAGCCGTTGTTGGTGTTTCTCGTTGAGGGTTGTGGAGCTGGAGATACAGGGTGGAGCACTGTTTTCTAGTTTGTGGGTCGTGGAGCTGGAGACCCGTGTAGGAGCCGCTGGTGGTGTTTTTCATTGAGGGTTGTGCAGCTAGAGATACAGGGTGGAGCGTTGTTTTCTGGTTTGTGGGTCGTGGAACTGGAGAACCGTGGAGGAGCTGTCGTTGGTGTTTCTGGTTGAGGGTCGTGGAGCTGGAGACCCATGGAGGAGCCGGAGTTGGTGTTTCTAGTTAAGGGTCATCGAGGTGGCGATGGCGGAATGGCCGCTGTGGGGGTCTTTGTTTGAGGGTAGTGGAGCTGGAGATACAGGATGGAGCGTTGTTTTCTAGTTTGTGGGTCGTGGAGCTGGAGACCCGTGGAGGAGCTGTCGTTGGTGTTTCTCGTTGAGGGTTTGGAGTTGGAGACATGCGGAGGAGCCATTGTTGGTGTTTCTAGCTGAGAATCGTGGAGCTGGAGACCCGCAGAGGAGCTGTTGTTGGTGTTTCTCGTAGAGGATCGTGGAGCTGGAGTCCTGTGGAGGATCCAGTGTTGGTGTTTCTTGCTGAGAGTCATGGTGCTGCAGACATGCGGAGGAGAAGCTGTTGGTGTTTCTAGTTGAATGTCGTGGAGCTGGACACCCGCCAGGAGCCAGTGTTGGTGTTTGTAGTGGAGGGTCGTGTTGCTGGAGACCTGCGGAGGAGCCGGTGTTGGTGCTTCTAGTTGAGGTTTGGGGAGTTGGAGACCCGTGGAGGAGCCATTGTTGGTGTTTCTTGGTGACTGTTGTGGAGCTGGAGATATAGGGTGATGCGTTGTTTTCTAGTTTGTGGTTTGTGGAGCTGGAGACGCGCGGAGGAGCCGGTTTTATTGTTTTTAATTGAGGATCGTGGAGCTGGAGACCTGCGGAGGAGCCCATGTTGGTGTTTGTAGTTGAGGGTTTTGGAGCTGGAGACTCGCAGAGGAACGGCAGTCTGGTGGTTCTAGTTGATGACTGTGAAGCTGGAGATACAGGGTGGAGCGTTGTTTTCTACTTTGTGGGTCATGGAGCTGGAGACCCGTGGAGGAGCTGGAGTTGGCGTTTCTAGTTGAGGGTCGTGGAGCTGGAGACCCATGGAGGAGCTGGAGTTGGTGTTTCTAGTTGAGGGTCATCGAGATGGAAATGGCGGAGTAACCGCTGTTGGTGTTTTTGTTTTACGGTCATGGAGCTGGAGATACAGGGTGGAGCGTTGTTTTCTAGTTTGTGGGTCATGGAGCTGGAGACCCGTGGAGGAGCTGGAGTTGCTGTTTCTAGTTGAGGGTCTTGAAGCTGGAGACCCATGGAGGAACTGGAGTTGGTGTTAGAGTGTCATCGAGGTGGAGACGGCAGAGCAGCCGCTCTTGGTGTTTTTCTTTGAGGGTCGTGGAGCTGGAGATACAGGGTGGAGCATTGTTTTCTAGTTTGTGGGTCATGGACATAGAGCCCCCATGGAGGAGCCGTCGATGGTGTTTCTGGTTGAGGGTCGTGGAGTTGGAGACATGCGGAGGAGCCATTGTTGGGGTTTCTAGTTGATGATCATGGAGCTGCATACCCGTACCCGCGGAGGAGCCGCTGTTAGTGTTTCTCTTTGAGGGTTGTGGAGCTGGAGATACAGGGTGGAGCGTTGTTTTCTGATTTGTGGGTGGTGGAGCTGGAGACCTGTGGAGGAGCTGGAGTTGGTGTTTCTAGTTGAGGGTCGTGGAGCTGGAGACCCATGGAGGAGCCGGAGTTGTGTTTCTAGTTGAGGGTCATCGAGGTGTCGATGGCGGAATAGCCGCTGCGGGGGTCTTTGTTTTAGGGTCGTGGAGCTGGAGATACAGCCTGGAGCGTTGTTTTCTAGTTTGTGGGTCGAGGAGCTGTCGTTAGTGTTTCTGGTAGAGGGTTGGGAGTTGCAGACATGCGGAGGAGACATTGTTAATGTTTCTACTTGAGGATTGTGGAGCTGGAGACCTGCGGAGGAGCCGTTGTTGGTGTTTCTCGTTGAGGGTTGTGGAGCTGGAGATAGAGGGTGGAGCGTTGTTTTCTAGTTTGTGGGTCGTGGAGCTGGAGACCCGCGGAGGAGCCGGTGTTGGTGTTTCTAGTTGAGGATCGTGGCTGGAGTCCCGTGGAGGATCCGGTGTTAGTGTTTCTTGCTGAGGGTCATGGTGCTGGAGGCCTGCGGAGGAGAAGCTGTTGGTGTTTCTAGTTGAATGTCGTGGAGCTGGAGACCCGCCAGGAGCCAGTGTTCATGTTTGTAGTTGAGGGTCGTGTTGCTGGAGACCCACGGAGGAGCCGATGTTGGTGTTTCTAGGTGAGGTTTGGGGAGTTGGAGACCCGTGAAGGAGCCATTGTTGGTGTTTCTCGGTGACTGTTCTGGAGCTGGAGATATAGGGTCATGTGTTGTTTTCTAGTTTGTGGTTTGCGGAGCTGGAGACCCGCGGAGGAGCCGGTTTTGTTGTTTGTAATTGAGGATCGTGGAGCTGGAGACCTGCGGAGGAGCCCATGTTGGTGTTTGTAGTTGAGGGTTTTGGATCTGGAGACTCGTGGAGGAACTGTAGTTGGTGTTTCTCGTAGAGGGTCGTGGAGCTGGAGATACAGGGTGGAGCGTTGTTTTCTAGTTTGTGGGTCGTGGAGCTGGAGACCCGTGGAGGAGCTGTCGTTGGTGTTTCTAGTTGAGGGTTGTGGAGCTGGAGTCCCATGAAGGAGCCGGAGTTGGTGTTTCTAGTTGAGGGTCATCGAGGTGGCGATGGTGGAACGGCCGCTGTTGGTGTCTTTGTTTGAGGGTCGTGGAGCTGGAGATACAGGGTGGAGCGTTGTTTTCTAGTTTGTGGGTCATGGAGCTGGAGACCCGTGGGGGAGCTGTCGTTAGTGTTTCTGGTTGAGGGTTTGGAGTTGGAGACATGCGGAGGAGCCATTGTTGGTGTTTCTAGTTGCGGATCGTGGAGCTGGAGACCCGCAGAGGAGCCGTTGTTGGTGTTTCTCGTAGAGGGTTGTGGAGCTGGAGATACAGGGTGGAGCATTGTATTCTAGTTTGTGGGTCATGGAGCTGGAGACCTGTGGAGGAGCTGGAGTTGTTATTTTTAGTTGAGGGTCGTGGAGCTGGAGATACAGTGTCATGCGTTGTTTTCTAGTTTGTGGTTGGCGGAGCTGGAGACCTGCGGAGGAGCCGGTTTTGTTGTTCCTAATTGAGGATCGTGGAGCTGGAGACCTGCGGAGGAGCTGTTGTTGGTGTTTCTCATTGAGGGTTGTGGAGCTGGAGATACAGGGTGGAGCATTGTTTTCTAGTGTGTGGGTCGTGGAGCTGGAGACCCGTGTGGGAGCCGGTGGTGGTGTTTCTCATTGAGGGTTGTGGAGCTATAGATACAGGGTGGAGCATTCTTTTCTGGTTTGTGGGTCATGGAGCTGGAGACTTGTGGAGGAGCTGGAGTTGGTGTTTCTAGTTGAGGGTCATCGAGGTGGCGATTGCGGAATGGCCGCTGTGGAGGTCTTTGTTTGAGGGTCGTGGAGCTGAAGATACAGGGTGGAGCATTGTTTTCTAGTTTGTGGGTCGTGGAGCTGGAGACCGGTGGAGGAGCTGTCGTTGGTGTTTCTGGTTGAGGGTTGGGAGTTGGACACATGCGGAGGAGACATTGTTAATGTTTCTACTTGAGGATCGTGGAGCTGGAGACCTGCGGAGGAGCCGTTGTTGGTGTTTCTCGTAGAGGGTTGTGGAGCTGGAGATACAGGGTGGAGCGTTGTTTTCTAATTTGTGGGTCGTGGAGCTGGAGACCCATGGAGGAGCTGTCGTTGGTGTTTCTGCTTGCGGGTTTGGAGTTGGAGACACGCGGAGGAGCCATTGTTGGTGTTTCTAGTTGAGGATCGTGGAGCTGGAGACCTGCAGAGGAGCCGTTGTTGGTGTTTCTCGTAGAGGGTTGTGGAGCTGGAGATACAGGTTGGAGTGTTGTTTTCTTGTTTGTGGGGTGTTGAGCTGGAGACCTGCAGAGGATCCGGTGGTGGTGTTTCTCTTGAGTGTTGTGGAGCTGGAGATACAGGGTGGAGCATTGTTTTCTAGTGTGTGGGTCGTGGAGCTGGAGACCCGTGTAGGGGCCGGTGGTGGTGTTTCTCATTGAGGGTTGTGGAGCTATAGATACAGGGTGGAGCATTGTTTTCTGGTTTGTGGGTCGTGGAGCTGGAGACCCGTGGAGGAGCTGTCGTTGGTGTTTCTAGTTGAGGGTCGTGGAGCTGGAGTCCCATGAAGGAGCCGGAGTTGCTGTTTCTAGTTGAGGGTCATCGAGGTGGCGATGGCGGAATGGCCGCTGTTGGTGTCTTTGTTTGAGGGTCGTAGAGCTGGAGATACAGGGTGGAGCATTGATTTCTAGTTTGTGGGTCGTGGAGCTGGAGACCCGTGGAGGAGCTGTCGTTGGTGTTTCCGGTTGAGGGT